CCTCCCCACTAAAGTGGTGTAGGGTATAAAAAGATACATATTTGCTCATATGCCAATAGTATTTTAACTATTATTTTGTTAAGAAATTTTTTATAAACAACTGCCTTAAATTTTTCTTAATTTCTTATTTTAGCCTACAAAACCGTGTCCGGTGTAAACGGTCCCTTGGTCATTTTGGATGAAGTTAAATTCCCCAAGTTCGCTGAAATCGTACAGTTGCGTTTGGCTGATGGTACTGTACGTTCTGGTCAAGTATTGGAAGTCAGTGGCTCCAAGGCTGTCGTCCAAGTCTTCGAAGGTACCTCTGGTATTGATGCCAAGAACACATTATGTGAATTCACCGGTGACATTTTGCGTACCCCCGTATCTGAGGATATGTTGGGTCGTGTCTTCAACGGCTCCGGCAAGCCCATCGACAAAGGTCCCCCAATTTTGGCTGAAGATTTCTTGGATATCCAAGGTCAACCCATCAATCCCTGGTCTCGTATCTATCCCGAGGAAATGATCCAAACTGGTATCTCCGCCATTGATGTGATGAACTCCATTGCTCGTGGTCAAAAGATTCCCATTTTCTCAGCTGCTGGTTTGCCCCACAATGAAATTGCTGCCCAAATTTGTCGTCAAGCCGGTTTGGTTAAGGTAACTACTTTTAAATAAAAAGAAGAAATTCAAAACTCATTGATTTTTTTTTTGTTCCCAATATTAAGGTTCCCGGCAAATCTGTTTTGGACGATCACGAAGATAACTTTGCTATTGTATTCGCTGCTATGGGTGTTAACATGGAAACTGCCCGTTTCTTCAAACAAGATTTCGAAGAGAACGGTTCTATGGAAAATGTGTGCTTGTTCTTGAATTTGGCCAACGATCCTACAATTGAACGTATCATTACCCCACGTTTGGCTTTGACTGCTGCCGAATTCTTGGCCTACCAATGCGAGAAACACGTCTTGGTCATCTTAACCGATATGTCCTCCTATGCTGAAGCTTTGCGTGAAGTATCCGCCGCCCGTGAAGAAGTACCCGGTCGTCGTGGTTTCCCCGGTTATATGTACACCGATTTGGCCACCATTTACGAACGTGCCGGTCGTGTTGAAGGTCGTAACGGATCCATCACACAAATTCCCATTCTTACTATGCCTAACGATGATATTACCCATCCAATTCCTGATTTGACTGGTTACATTACTGAGGGTCAAATTTACGTTGATCGTCAATTGCACAACAGACAAATCTATCCTCCAGTCAATGTGTTGCCCTCTTTGTCACGTTTGATGAAATCTGCCATCGGTGAGGGTATGACCCGCAAGGATCACTCTGATGTATCCAATCAATTGTACGCTTGTTATGCCATCGGTAAGGATGTACAAGCTATGAAGGCTGTCGTTGGTGAAGAAGCTTTGACTCCTGATGATTTGTTGTACTTGGAATTCTTGACCAAATTCGAAAAGAATTTCATCTCACAGGTAAATACAAATGATTTTGTTTTTTTATTAATTTTTTATTATACAACTAGGAGTAATTGGATTGGTCGAAATATATTTTTATAATTCATAAAACCTTAACATAAGGAACTATTTTAAACCATTTAAATGACTTGTGAAAGTGAGCTTAATGTTCAATCGTTATGATTATATTCAATCAACGTTGTAAATTTAATCAAAGTAATTTCCTCTTTAAAAATTTAAAGTGGTCCTTTTTTAAAAAAAAAAATATATTTTTTTAATTTTTACTTTTAATCGAAATAAAATTCCGTGATAATCCTTCTAGTTAAGTTCTAGTTGTTTAACATCTATAGATTTAACAAACTATTTAAGAAGTGCTCAAAACACTCATTGCTGCAATATAAAAAGCTCTCTATATAAAATTTCAATTTTATCGCAAATATTCCAAAATTTATTTTATAGGTATCAAATATTTACTAACTCTTTAGCTATTTTGATCGAATTTGTTTTACTTATTTATAATACATTCTTCTTCTTCTAGGGTAACTACGAAAACCGTACTGTATTCGAATCTTTGGATATTGGTTGGCAATTGTTGCGTATCTTCCCCAAGGAAATGTTGAAACGTATTCCAGCTTCTATTTTGGCTGAATTCTATCCCAGAGATTCACGTCATTAAACTTGTTTTTACATTAATAATATATTTTTTCGTCATTATCTGTTTATTTTATTTGTTTATTAAATTTTTAGTCTAAAAGCTTTTTTGCAAGCTTTTGAAATATTTGTTCTTTTCAATTGCAATAATTATACAACAACAAATGCACATTAAGCAAATCACTGTTAAATTTAAATTAAAGTTAAAGTAAAGATAAAGTTAAAACAATTGATTATGATGTCAACGAAAATATAGAGCAATTTTAAATTTTCAGCCATCAAAGCCAAAAAATTATAAAATCAACAACAACAACAAATTATAATACTAATTGTATATAAACAAAATATATATAGTATAAAAAAAGAAAGAAATGGAACACAATGTAAAAACAAAATCTATTTTAAAGCAATATTTACTTACAAACAAAAAGTCGCCGCCCGCCATAAAATCTTGTTTTAAAAATGATATTTGTTTTTTATTTAAAAAGTGTTAAGGGTTCACTACTACTAAAATAATACATATACATTTATCGCCCAATAACAACAACGTGAAAAAATGCAATAGCAAATTATTTTTATTTTAGTAAAAAGGAAAAATCATTTGCGTTTTGTTAAAATTATATAAAAAAAAATAAACAACTGTTTGTTTCTTTGTTAGTTTTTAAGTTTTCAAACACATGTATTAATTAAAATGTCTGTTTATTGTTTTTCTTCTTTTCATTTTACAAAAATCTATTTTATTTTGCTGTTATAAACAAAATTATCATATTATACACCTCTCTCTTGTTAAACAAAGTGGTAAAAATGCAAATTCTTTATATTATTACACAGCATTCCAAAAAACAAAAATAAAAACATACATTACATTTTAAATAATTGCTTTAATTTGTTTTCTTTTTATTAATTTTTTTTATTTCATTTATTTGGTTTGTGTTTATGTTTTCAAAACGTCGTCATTTCCTTTGCTCCATTTCAATAAAAGTATTATCCTCAATAACCCTTTTTCATAAACATATTGAAATTGGTATTTTTTTATTTATGTATTTTATTTTATTAATGACATTAACTTTGGGAATATACTTTCTTTTAAAACAAATCTCGTTGTCAGTGTGTGTTTATTAAATAATTAATTGATTAAAAATTGTTGTAAATTTTGAAATCTACTTGAAAACAATAATAAACTCTAAAAAATAAAAAAATATAAGCCTACCTTAAAAAAAAATATACTACTTGTATGAGTAATCAATATATATTAAATAAATGAAAACTATATTTAAACAAATACTTAATTTCATATGTATTATATAAAAAAAACAACAAAGATTTATGCGTGTTTGAAAGAAAATAATTAAAGAAATATATATATAAATATTACAATAAAAAGACAAAAACTGTTAATGAAAACAATATCAAACATAGTTCTTTTTATACTTTTTAAATTAGTGACTGGGAGATCAGAGCCGAATGCGTTCAAGTATTTTCAATGTTTAGTCCAGTTTTAGAGTCGATTTTAGAAATTTTTAACCTCTTGAAGGTTTGTAATTAGATTCTCTTTAATAAATAAATATATTTCGAATCGATACGGTGTTAAAAAAACATTTCAGATGTTATTGTGTTTCAAATGGCTTCATTCGATTATATTCTTTTATATACTGAACTAGATCTGCATTAGAACTAAACTAGAACTACACTAGAACTGAACTAGAAGTGAATTAGAACTGAACTAGAAAGAACTCGAACTGAACCCGAAAGAACTAGAACTGAACCAGAAAGAACTAGAACTGATTAGAACTGAACTAGAACTGAACTAGAACTGAACTAGAACTGAACTAGAACTGAACTAGAACTGAACTAGAACCGAACTAGAAATGAACTAGAACTAAACTGAAATAGAACTGAACTAGAACTGAACTAGAACTGAACTAGAACTAGAACTGAACTAGAACTGAACTAGAACCGAACTAGAAATGAACTAGAACTAAACTGAACTAGAACTGAAATTGAACTTAACTAGAACTGAAATAGAACTTAACTAGAACTGAACTAGAACTGAACTAGAACTGAACTAGAACTGAACTAGAACTGAACTAGAACTGAACTAGAACTGAACTAGAACTGAACTAGAACTGAACTAGAACTGAACTAGAACTGAACTAGAACTGAACTAGAACCGAACTAGAAATGAACTAGAACTAAACTGAAATAGAACTTAACTAGAACTGAAATAGAACTTAACTAGAACTAAACTAGAACTGAACTAGAACTGAACTAGAACTGAACTAGAACCGAACTAGAAATGAACTAGAACTAAACTGAACTAGAACTGAAATAGAACTTAACTAGAATTGAAATAGAACTTAACTAGAACTGAACTAGAACTTAACTGAACCAAAACTGAACTAGAACTGAACTAAAACTCAACTAGAACTGAACTAAAACTAACTCGAACTGAAAACTAGTTTTTTGGAGAACCCTTACACATACATATCTTCGGAATAAAAATCTTGTCTGTTTTTCTGCTTTTAAGAATTGATCTTTGATCTTAATTTAAATTTTAAAACCAGAAAAATTGTTCTATAAGTATCGGATATATGATCGAAACAAATATGAACAAAACATTTCAACTCGTGTCGATACCAATCGATAGAGTGCGTGACGTGATAAAAGAAGACTTTTCGGTAGAAATGACCAAATTTATTAGAAATAAAAAATTAAAAACATGGACAAAAATGGTTTAATTTAAATATTATTAAAATATTGGTACAATTTTGACAAAAATAGTACTTTTTATGTATCAATCTAAAGTAGTGACTTAGAATATATAAACTCAACGTACATACATAAATACATACATACATATGTATGTAAATCATAGCAATTTAAATAAATACCGTAAATACCGTATGTGTGTGATTGTGATCAGTATTAATTTGTGTAGCATTCAAATTAGAAGTGTTTCATGTTTATTTAATTTATTTAAATAAATCTGTTCAAAATTAATGCAATGAAATCTAAAGAATACAAGGATATTTCAGAAGATGAAGATGATGACGAATTGGAAGATGGTAAGTAAATAAATAAATTCACTTCATATTAAAATAATAATTTTGAAACTAATTAACAATTAAAGAAGAACAATCACAAGATGATGCCGATGACAATGAGCTCGAAGAGGAGGAAGGAGATGAAAATGAAGAGGGTGATGAAGTAGAAGATGACGAAGACTTTGTTGAGGAAGAGGAAGATTTTTCAAATAATGCGGCTAAAAGTGCCACACCACGTCAGTCGTTGGGAGGAGGAAATCAGAAAATAGTGTTACAAAAGCCTAGTCAAACTACAAAGAAAAAACCCACTACGCAGAAATTGGTGGATGAAGCCATAAAAGAACTTAAGGAGAAGCGTGGTTCATCGATTGAGGCCATTAAAAAGTATATAATGAATAAAATTCCCGAAACGGATGAAAAACGTTTGAAAATTCAAATTCGTCGTTACATCAAAAATTGCTTGGATGATGGTACAATGACGCAGATAAAACGTTCCTTTAAATTTACCAATAAACATGAAGCGAAAACTAAACAAATAGAAAAGGAAAAACTAAAAGCTAAGAAGGAAAAAGAAAAGCAGAAACAGAAATTGGCTAAAGAAAAGGTAAATGTTTGTTGTATTTTATAAAGAAGAAGAGCCCTCTTTATAATAATTTATCAAAAGTTTATAGAACAAAACTAAAAAAAATATAAAACTATAAAGTTTTAATAAATTATTTTAAATAAGACCCGAAGCAATTTACATTAATTCTATAATTCTAGAAAAAACAGCAAAAAGAAAAACCCAAAGCGGAAAAGACTGCCACTAAAGAAAAGGCAAAGGATAAGGAGAAATCTAAGGAAAAAACCAAAGCTGGTAAAAGACCAAAGAATGAAACGTCAGATACTAAAGCTAAGCCAGCCAAGAAACCTAAATTAGAGAAAGCAGAAAAAAGTGATTCAACTGCTGGAAGTAAAACGTCTACTGAGAAAGCTAAGCCGAAAAATAAATTATCTCGTAAATCAATTAATTTGGTGGTTAGACCAACACCACCTCGTCCTAAAACCATGAAAAAGACTAAAACAACCGCTGCAGCATCTAAGAAGAAAATTGATTTTCCAGCACCAGCAGATAAAGCACCGACTGCGACCACTAGCGCTGCAGTTAAGACCGCTGGTCGGGGAAAAAAGAAGTAGTTTTTTGCATGTTAATTTGCTGGTATAATTTTACAAATGCTTTAAATTAAATATATGTTTGTTTGTCTTAATTGAATGTTTATCTTTAATTATTTCAGTTCTTTTAAATTATTAATAAAATTTTTATATTTGTTTGTAAATGGTGATTTTATTCCCACCATCAAAAAAGATGGGGTTATATTGTTTCTATCATTCCGTTCGTAACACATCGAAATATGCATCTAAGACCCATAAAAATATATTTGTTGTAGATCCCTATTAGATTCTAAGACGATCTAGCCATGTCCGCCTATCTGTTGAAAACACGATAGAGTCCAAATGGAAGTAGCTAACGAGCTGAAATTTTGCAGAAATATATTTATTTGATGCAGTGTGTGTGTGTGTGCGCAGTGTCCCCCTCTTAAAATGACTTGAACGGTTATAACTGACTAAAAGAATAAGTTATAGCGATAAAAGATCGGTCTCTTCAGACTTAAGTGTTCAGAGCTGGCTTTCAGAACCATATATATATCGGTGAAAACTTAACTAAGCAAGTTTTATTGGAACCAAATCATTGTATACATTTTTTTGAGAATCGGTCCATATTGACCCTACCCCCAATAGAAAAAATCTACCTAAATAACTAACTAACTAACTAACTAACTAACTAACTACTAACTAACTAACTAACTAACTAACTAACTAACTAACTAACTAACTAACTAACTAACTAACTAACGACAACGAACGAACGAACGAACGAACGAACGAACGAAAACGAACGAAACGAAACGAACGAACGAACGAACGAAACGAACGAACGAACGAACGAACGAACGAACGAACGAACGAAACGAACGAACGAACGAACGAACGAAACAACGAACGAACGAACGAAACGAACGAACGAACGAACGAACGAACGAACGAACGAAGAACGAACGAACGAAACGAACGAACGAACGAAAAACGAACGAACGAACGAACGAACGAACGAAGAACGAACGAACGAAACGAACGAACGAACGAACGAACGAACGAAAGAACTAACGAACGAACGAACGAACGAACGAACGAACGAACGAACGAACGAACGAACGAACGAAAACGAACGAACACAACGAAAGAAGAACGAACGAACGAAACGAACGAACGAACGAACGCACGAACGCACGAACGCACGAACGAACGAACGAACGAAACGAAGAACGAACGAACGAACGAAAACTAAGAACGAACGAACGAACGAACGAACGAACGAGAACGAACGAACGAACGAACGAACTAAACGAACGAACGAACGAACTAACGAACGAACGACGAAGAAACGAACGAACGAACGAACGAACGAACGAACGAACGAACGAACGAACGAACGAACGAACGAAACGAACGAAACGAACAACTAACGAACGAAAAAAGAACGAACGAACGAACGAAACGAACGAACGAACGAACGAACGAACGAACGAACGAAACGACGAACGAACGAACGAAAACGAAAGAACGAAACGAACGAACTAACGAACGAACGAACGAACGAAAAAGAACGAACTAACTAACTAACTAACGAACGAACGAAATAAGAACGAACGAACTAACGAACGAACGAACTAACGAACGAACTAAGAACTAACTAACTAACGAACGAACTAACGAACTAACTAACTAACGAAACGAACTAACTAACTAACTAACTAACTAACTAACTAACTAAACTAACGAACTAACTAACTAACTAACTAACTAACTAACTAACTAACTAACTAACTAACTAACTAACTAACTAACTAACTAACTAACTAACTAACTAACTAACTAACTAACTAACTACTAACTAACTAACTAACTAACTAACTAACTAACTAACTGACTAACTAACTAACTAACTAACTAACTAACTAACTAACTAACTAACTAACTAACTAACTGACTAACTAACTAACTAACTACTAACTAACTAACTAACTAACTAACTAACTAACTAACTACTGAAGTGTTAAAAAATAATATTTTTGGATTTCGATTTGAAAAGACTAATTAATTCCAATAAATAGACTATTAATTGTTAATTTGGTTTGAAAATGGCTTTAGACCTTAGTTGAACATAGCAACGATTAAAAATTGTTCGACTTTGGTGGGTTCACCCTTTATTATCAAAGCGCAGTTATGTTGCTAACAACAATGCTTAAGCTAAGAAGATCTTATCTAATACATTTCAAATGCTATTTCAAAATTAGCAACTATATATTTTTTATTAAATTCATATATTTACACAGGCATACAATAGCCTTATTATTTAATTTAACACATTTAAAAATATCTATTTACAAATATATAAAAAGGAAGCATAATAAAATTTAAACTCATTAAAGTTTTAATGGTCGCACCACCGGAACCTTCGACACAATCACCATCGTTATATGAATTAAAACCCATCTTACAATTGCATTCACCATAAATACAATCCATTGATTGTTGCGATTCGTTCAATTGACGTTGATAACAATCTTCATCAATGCGACAATAATGACCACGTTCAACAACGGCAGTGCACACTGTTTCCACAACATCCTTTTCGGTTTTCTTTTCTTCCACAAAATATTTTTCTGAACATTGACAGACATTTTCGATACATTTACCACCCGGACCCATAGTGCCCATACATTGGATATTTTCAGTACAAGCTTCAAAATATTTTGATATCTTCAAACAGCGTGCATTATCGATGGAAGCGTAATGTTCGGGTTTGCAGATACAATGTTGGGTTATATTGCTGCATTCGGTATTTTCGCCATATTTTTCGGTGCACTGGTCATCGTTGGAGCAAAACGATTTGTTACCTGTTAAGAGAAAAGATTTAAGATTACAGTTATCTTTAATTTTCTTTAAAACTATAGTTTTTTAAACTATGTACTTAAGTTTAAACCATTACGAACGCTACCTTATGTTTCTTTAACAATTTTTGAATTAAATTAAATATTTGCCCAGGAGAATTAGCAACAGAACCTTTATACTTACACTACATTTTCCAATGATGTGATTTAACACTCACCCACTATAGAAGTACATTTGCCTTCATTATTAATAAACTGATCCATGCAAATACACTGCTTCGATGATTCATGGCAAATGGCATTAAAATCTACTTTTTGACACTGTGAATCCTGTTCACATTTCTCACCCAATGCCACCATTTCTGCGGGAAAATCAAGCATAAAAAATAAATACAAATATGTACAATGTTATCAAAATGAATGACATGAGTGAGACATTCAATTAATTGCATTTAATTAATTATATTTGTGTAATGTTATTCGTAAAACTTTCAGGCAGTTATTTATTCAATCATTCACTGCTGAATCAAACATTCATTCACTCAGTCAGCCAGACAGACATTTATACGTTTTATTGATTTACTTACTTGCAATGCATCGCCTTTTATCACTGCTGGGCATAAAATCGCTGGCACAATAACATACATCCTGTTGCGTATCACATTCAGCATTTGGTTGCTGGCAGGGACATGGTCCACCAATAATATTGTTCACTTTATGGTTCTTGAAGAGCAAGAAGAGAAAACAAATCAACAAAAATATGTTAAAAAAAACCAATGAAATTTAAGTGGAGTAATTAAAAACTCCTTCTTACCAATGGTTGGCATTTAACATTATCACCATTGCTGCTGCTACATTGACATTGTTCTTCAATGCATGCGGATTTAATTCCAGAATGTTGAAATTGTTTGCATTGCGTTTCATTGATGCAGTTCAGCTCAAGTAATTCTTAAAATAATATAATTATTCAATTTGTGTTTTTTATACTTCTCTTATTTTATTTTTTATTATTTACCATCACTTTGTATTAAATTCACACAATTTAAAATTATTGCTAAAAATATTACAAATGTTTCACTTTTCATTTTCTTTTATTTATTTTAAATATTTGTTTTCTCTTTTAAGATCAAGCTGAATATGAAACTTAAATAGCGGTGTTTGAAATCTCAAAGACCGTTGACCTCGAAGTAAATGGAATTATAATGCTAAATAATGATAAGTAAGAGTATGTAGAAGGAATTAGTTTACCCAATTCGCCAAATACATATACTTATGTAAAAGTATTATTCACAAGTCTAAAATATACATGTGATATAATTCTCGGAATATTTTAATACCTTCCTTATATTTATTTATATATGTAATTAGATTATAACCACTTTCATCACTGCACTGGCTAAATAAAATTTGCTTCATAAATCAACATAAATAAAACTTTTTTAAATAGTATTTCAGAGCGACATTTGAATGGATTTTCGTTATGGTCAACTGGGTATGATCTATAAAATATTTAAGAAATCACGATAAAAAATATAATAAATATGAAACAAGTAAGAGTGTTATATTCGGCTATAACGAATCTTATATTCCCATCATCAAATCCTATGCCGTCTATAAATAAACTTTGATATTTATGAATCGATGCTTTTATTATTGTCGAAACAGTTTACCATTATTCGATATTAATATGAACATGAGGGTCTTTAATAAGGGTTTAAGTCATTTATGGACCGAGCTATTCTAAATTAAAAAATATATAAATTTTTAAAGGAAATAGTTTTCTTTAAGAGGATTATATGGGGGATAGGTTAAATTATGGACCGATCTTCATAAAATTTTGTACATATGTATGTATGTATGTATGTATGTATGTATGTATGTATGTATGTATGTATGTATGTATGTATGTATGTATGTATGTATGTATGTATGTATGTATGTATGTATGTATGTATGTATGTATGTATGTATGTATGTATGTATGTATGTATGTATGTATGTATGTATGTATGTATGTATGTATGTATGTATGTATGTATGTATGTATGTATGTATGTAGTATGTATGTATGTATGTATGTATGTATGTATGTATGTATGTATGTATGTATGTATGTATGTATGTATGTATGTATGTATGTATGTATGTATGTATGTATGTATGTATGTATGTATGTATGTATGTATGTATGTATGTATGTATGTATGTATGTATGTATGTATGTATGTATGTATGTATGTATGTATGTATGTATGTATGTATGTATGTATGTATGTATGTATGTATGTATGTATGTATGTATGTATGTATGTATGTATGTATGT